TAATTCCTTTTAGTTGAAAGATATTTTTCAAAATAAGGTAAGTTTTGCTCGAAATCAGGCATTCTCAGCCTAGATTGGATCATGGTGGCCAATATATTTATGGAAGACAAAGAGCATTCCCTTTTATAGAAGTTTTGCAAAGCTTTTGGAAACATCTGGTTCAGTGGTTCTGGAAATTACTAAATTTCTCTTTTAATCAATCCTTCTAGCTCTCAACTTTAAAATAATTTAAGTTTTACATAATAACCTATCCAACAAATAGTGAAGTGTTAAACCTTTATAAAGACCTGCGAACTTTTACATTTATGGTCGAATTTTGTACAGACTGTACATGTTTAGAGGGTGAAATATAAGATTTCAGCACGTACATGGAATATAAATGAATCAGGTGAGAGAGACGGCCTTTCCACTTCCTTTTTTTCTCTTTGTGCTTGTAACCTAGCAGCTCTTCCTTTCCAGTTTCTTATTTAGTGCATAATTCATCACTGTGAACTACTGCCATCCCACTGTACCATGGAACATGCAAACCTGTTATCTAACTGTGTTTTGGTACTCATTATCATACTTCCCTTTGTTTCCTCCCCTATACCCTCCCAACCTCCAGCAATTACTTGTCTAAATGTGGCAGGATTTTCTCTTAACTTTCATGCATAATGAGAGAATATTCACTGTATCAATTCTTTTTACAATGCTTAATTATATACAAAATTTAAACAAGCCACAAATAAATATACTATGTGTGACAAAAATGAAGAAGATGTGAAAAAGTTAAATGCAAATGAACATAAAACAGAGATGTCAGCAAGAATGGGGTCTTTTAAAGTGACTTTAAACATTGGCAAATAGAGACCAGCATGGTGGTATAGTAGGCTAATCTACCTATAGCACCAGCATTCCATATAGGTACTGGTTCATGTTCCAGATGCTCTACTTCTGATTTAGTTCCCTGCTTATACCCAGGGAAAGCATTGGAGGACGGCTCAAGTCCTTGCACCTGTAAGCCCATATGGGAGATCTAAAGGAAGCTACCAGCTCCTGGTCTCAAATCAGCTTAGCTGTGGTCCTTGTAGATATTTAGGGAATAAACAGCAAATGGAGGACCTCTCTCTCTGTGTCCCTCCTTGTCTCTGTAGATCTGCTTTTCAAATACGATAAATAAATATATTTTTTTAAATTCAAGAATACGATATTGTGCAGTGAGATAGAAATGGTACACAGCTTGAAGTACGTGGATGGAATTTAAGACTTAAAAGCTATATAATGTGAAAATGCCTGGTACAGTATCCTAGTGGCTAAAGTCCTGGCACATGCCAGAATGTAATGTTTTACTGGCCCTGCTTGTGGCCTGGGAAAGCAGTTGAAGATGGCCCAAAGCCTTGGGACACTGCACCCATGAGGGAGACCTGGAACACACTCCTGGCTCCTGGCTTGGGATCAGTTCAGATCTGGCCATTGTGCCCACTTGAGGAGTGAATCAGCAGATGGAAGACTTTCCCCTCTGTTTTTCCTGCTCTCTGTATATATCTAACTTACCTATAAATATAAGTAAATCTTTAAAAATATGAATATGACATGGAAAATTTTTTTTAAAAGTATAGGATTTTAGCGTTTGAACTCAAGAATAAATCACATTGATTATATACGTTTTCTCTGGCATCTCTAAGGAAATATTTAGAAAAATAAAGGGACTAGGTTTGATGATGTAATTAGTGCAAACAATTTTGCATAAAAACAAATCTATTAACATTGCAGGAAGCATATTGAAGTGAATATTACTACTAGAACCAGTTATTATTAAAGTAGTCATATAAGATCGAATCTAAACTTAAGTTTGAAAAAATAGAAGGATGAGCTTTAGTGGGACAATATGGAAAGTGATTATAATTGTTAAATGAATAGAGAGCAGGTGTCTTTCATCACGAGATTTAACAATATGGAGAGATAATAATTTTTAGAATGTTCATCTTAATAATCAAACTAATTCAAAAGCAAACACAAAATTCTACCTGGAGAATTACTTAACCCAAGATACATCACTACTAAATTTGGTTTGTTCATACAGCATCTTGACTATTGCCCAGGCCAAAAAAATGTATAGGAAGTCATACTTATCCAGGAAACATCCCTAGAGTACAAATGCTTTCTCTCCAATAGAGAAACTCTAAATTCAATGCTTCACTGTTTTACTTTCTATATTTAAGGCAGTGGAAATTTCTGATCTTAAAATCTCCACAGTTACTTGCAGAAAGTAGAGCCAATTGTTGCAATGTTATAAAATACTAAAATTTTCTTTGTCATAGGATTTTGAAGTTATTTATCTAATGTACTTAAAAACGTATTAGAAAGTTGTCACAGGAGTCATTACTACTTTTTGCAATAATGTCTTAGTGTGTTAAAATTGCAATAGAATCTGTATTAGCATAGTGTATAATCAAAGGGCAAGCTATAACTCTTTTTTTTTTATTGTTGTTAACATTGTATTATGTGATACAGTTTTATAGGCACTGGGGATTCTCCCCACCCCTCCCATACCCCTCCCCCCATGGTGGATTCCTCCACCTTGATGCATAACCACAGTTCAAGTTCAGTTGAGATTCATTCCTTGCAAACACATATCTAGCATAAAGTTCAGCGTCTTATTGTCCAGATAAGTTCAGTGGCCTCTTGGGGAGACCTTCTCTAGTCTGAAGATAGGGCTAACAGAGTAAAGATCCGGTCAGTTAAAAGCCCCAACAGAACCTCAGTATCAATATACAACATTATGGAATTAATTGACATAGTATTGGGTAAACAATATGTTAAAAATAATGCAAGTTCCATTCTTCGAAACATCTGGGTTGAGACAGTATCAATGACAGGTTCAAAAAATAACCAACAACCAAACAAAAATTACAAGTTAAATCAAGGCAAACATGTGGTATCTAATCTTTTGGGATTTGCTCATTTCCCTTAGCATTATAGTTTCCAGTTGTGCCCATTTAGCCACAAAGAACTGCATTTTGTTTTTTTTAAAAGCTGAGTAGTATTCCATGGGGTAAATGAACCAAAGCTTTCTTATCCAATCTTCTGCTGATGGGCATTTCGGTTGCTTCCATGTTTTTGCAATTACTGATTGTGCTGCTATGAACATAGGGATGCATGTTGGTTTGTCGTAAAACAGGTGTTTTGGATATATTCCTAGGAGTGCAATTGCTGGGTCATATGGTATGCAGATTTTGAGTTGTTTGAGTGTTCTCCAGACTGATTTCCATAAAGGCTGTACCAATTTGCAGCTCCACCAGCAGTGGAGTAGGGTTCCCTTTTCCCTGCATCCTCGCCAGCAAGCGTCGTTGGTGTTCTTGTTTATGTGGGCCAATCTAACTGGTGTTAGGTGGTACCTCATCGATGTTTTAATTTGGATTTCCCTTACTGCCAGGGAGCTGGAACATTTTTTCATATGTTTGTTTGCCATTTGGACTTGTTCCTTTGTGAAATGTTTGCCCATTTCCCGTGCCCATTTCTTGAGTGGCTTGTTTGTTTTGGTTTTTTGGTTGTTTTGAAGTTCTTTGTATATCCTGGAAATTAGCCCCCTATCGCCTATATCGTGTGCAAAGATCTTCTCCCACTCTGTGGGTTGCTTTTTTACTTTGTTGATTGTTTCCCATTGATCAGCAGAAAACTCAAATTTTTGTCACTCTGAAGGTATCTTAGATATGCATGTGAATATCATTCATTTTAGAGATGACACCACTGAAGGAAAAGTATTTAGACAAAAATAATCTGTTTCAAAATCTACTGTACTCAACTAGTTAATTTTATTGTTTCAACGTGCCTTTTAACTGGAAAAAAATATATAAACTGCGAACACAATGCAGTGTCTGGTTGAGCATCTCTGGGCCTGAGCTGGGGAGCCAATTTCTCTTCTGACAGTTGTTTCCTAGAGTTGGAAATGTAACAGCTCTTCAAAATGTTTGGGGAAAGGGAACATTGTGAAACAATTATGTATTGATTTCAAATTTTTTACACCTGTATAAACTTCTTTAACTTTGTTTTCACATTTACTATTTGAAGTACCTTTATATACAATCAATGGATCTCTAATAAATATCCAAACTGTTACATTTATAAAGCATAATAAGCTACGTCGATGAAGAAAAGCCACACAATACCCATAAATTAATTTACTCAAATGAGCAAATACCGAAAGTTTAAACTACATATCTATGTGAAAACAAGACATGTACTTACAAAAGAAAATATCTGAACAGAGCAAAAGCTTGTTCATTGTAGATGGATTATGAATTTATATGATTACTCCTTCACTGAGAATTTAAAGTAAGTAAACTCTTAAGCCCTGAAGTAAGTAAATTCTTGCTTAATTTCAAATAACTTAAATGAATTTGTTTAAATTCACTATTTTCTCACTTTCCATAGAGATGACTACGATTATTCAAATGAACAGTTGAAGATGTACAAGGCCAGTCTGATACTCTCCTTTTTATCTGGTTATTGCTGCTTCCACGTTTTCACTCTTACTGAATTTTCAATAATGTCTTGTAGCTGTGTTTCTGAAAATGTGTCATCTAACTTCAGGTGCTCATCCCATGTCAACTTTATCAGAAACCTGGAGGTACAAGCCAATAAACCCATAGGAATAGCCTCCTCACACAATATTCATGACCTAATTTGACAGCCATTGTTTCACACATTTTCAAAATAGAGTCACTTCTACTTTTCAATTAATCCTAAAATTCCAAAACTTGAGGAAGTGGGAAGAAGTTAACATATATTCAGAGGAAGAAATTCAGTTTCAGAATAATTTGATTACTTAGGGTAATCACTTTTAATTTTTAGTGTCATGAGAGGATATTAGGTTATCTGATTAGGTGTAAGATATTTTATATTATTTTCCACACAAATTATCACAATTCATCTTCTATGAATGGGTGGCCAGTGCATTTATCATTCCTCACAGCATCAGTTTTTCTTTCACTTCCCTCCTGTAGGTAAAACAGAGAATCATGACAATGATGAATGAAAGCCACCACCCTGAAGAGTTCATTCTACTCGGCTTTGCTGACCGACCTTGGCTCCAGCTCCCTCTCTTCACTGTTCTTCTCATCACATACCCCATGGCCTTGGTGGGAAACATCGCCATCATCCTGGTGTCTAGGCTAGACCCCCGGCTCCACAGCCCCATGTATTTCTTCCTCACCAACCTCTCCTTCTTGGACATGTGTTACACCACCAGCATTGTCCCTCAGATGCTGTTCAACCTGGGAACCTCTAAGAAGACAATCAGCTACAAGGGCTGTGTGATTCAGCTTTATTTATTTCACACCATGGGGGGCACCGAGTGTCTGCTCTTGGCTCTTATGTCGTTTGATCGCTATGTGGCCATCTGTAGACCTCTGCACTACACCCTCATCATGAATCAGCGCATCTGCATCCTGTTAGCGTCTGTTGTGTGGCTCAGTGGAATCGCCTATGCAGTCTCAGAGGCCACTGTTACATTACAGCTGCCTCTGTGTGGTGTTAATACATTGGATCACTTGCTGTGTGAGATCCCAGTGCTGATCAAGACAGCCTGTGGTGACAAGGGGACTAATGAACTCACACTCTCTATCGTGTGCATTTTCATGTTAGCTGTTCCTCTATGCCTAATTCTTGCTTCCTATGCTAGTATTGGACATGCTGTATTTAAGATTAAATCTTCTGAGGGAAGGAAAAAGGCCTTTGGGACATGTTCCTCTCATCTCATTGTAGTCTTCTTATTTTATGGTCCAGCAATAAGCATGTACCTTCAGCCTCCTTCTTCCATCTCAAGGGACCAGCCCAAGTTCATGGCTCTCTTCTATGGAGTGGTGACTCCAACACTCAACCCCTTCATCTACACCCTCAGAAATAAGGATGTGAAGGGGGCATTAGGCCACTTGGTAGGGAACATAATCTGTTCAAAGTAACGCTAGTAGACTTCAAATAAAATTGTTTTAAAATTAGTGTAGATTTGTGTGAGTTTGTTTCATAATTTACTTTTGTTTTACAATCAAACTTCATGGTACATATTTTTCTTGAAAATATATTATGCTTCTTATATTTTTTGTAATTCTGATAGGCAAAGATTGTATTCATATAATGTTTGCTACTATAGGCACTTTGTTTTTTGTAAATGTTTTTAAATATTTTCTTATGATTGGAACATTTCATTCCTATGCCCTTTGCATATCAATAATATAAATTTTCTACTTTAAGCTAATCATTATAAATAGTATGACAGGCATCCAAGGATAGACTTCATGTCATGTCAGATATGAAATATTACATCCTTCCCTGTGATTTTTTCCAAGTGTAAGTGAACAACTTGATTAAACAGCACATTCTCCTAGAAACAATCTATGCTCAAAAAGAATCAAGAATCTCATAAATTTATCAACCTGGATGTATGCAGATATGCAGATATACTTGATTTTCAAAATATCATTATTAAAGAATGTATCTCTATAAGCTACTCTAACTTAGTCCTAACCATACAGTATTTTACATTCTGAAATCATATGATACCTTTAAGACTAAGGGTCACGAACTATAGTTTGAAGGAGCAAAGATATGGTAATTGACGCATTAAGCATATTGCTACTATTCATGAAATAGGAGATAAGGTATATAAGTAGGATAAGAATGGCAAAGTCTAAAAGATTGGAAAACTGGAATATACATAAGAGTTTGATCTAGCAGCCTGACTTGGTTGATTTCATACATGCAGGTCCTGTGGGAAATAGAGAGCCACTGACAATGCTTGCTTTCAAGTGTAGGAATTGAATACAAGATGGAGATTTTGTCAAGGATTTTAATAACAGAAAATTATTTTGAGAGTAGAAGTTTGGAGGTGCCGGAGGCCTGCTTCACCTGAGTTCAGTTTGAGGAGTTCAGAGTACGTGGAGTTGGTAATAAGGAAAGACACGGACACGGTCACTTGATGCTCTTTCATAACAGCTCAAGAAGCTGTCCTTTTTTATTTACCCAGCCACATCACAAGCTTCTGCACAAACATTTACTTGTTCTATTTTTACTTCATGACTAAGGGAGGCATGCATAGATATTTGATCATTATGTTTTCACTTCCTGGCTAAGCAAATGCCCCTAAAGATAATTCTGCAAAATACTGTATTCATATTCTTCAAAGCAAGCCATTGTTCATTCTTCAGTAGTAGCAGTGGAGCAGCAGCCAGGACTCCAAGGCAAAGGCACATGCGATTACCTGCTAATCAGTAATACATTCTTACCGCTTTCTATTTCCACAACTTGTCCATAATATTAATGGGAGAAATATGTTACAAGGGAAAAAAACATAAAAATCCAAGACAAAAGTATCAAATATTAAATCCCTCTACAATCATAGGCTTTATAATCCATAAACAACCAGACAATAATTAAAAACATATCTCCATAATATTAATAAAAGCATCTTTTAATTCTTCTAGACAAAAATTATGTAACAGTCTAAAACAGATGTGTTTGCTATGCTCCAAAGAAATTGCAAAAACAAGATAGCCTTTAAGGTCACAGTGACTGTATTACTGTCATAGCCATTTCAGCTCATATTCCTATCATTTTCATTAATTTTTAGGCTATTTATCAAGCCATTTCCCAGAAGGCGTGCTACATGTCTGAGCCAGATTCCGGGACAATAGGTAGGTACTCAATAAGGTGTCCAGAACTAACATGGGCTTAAATGTGCTCCGTGTGTAAATTGTTAAAGGCCCACACACCAGGACATTATCAGCAACATTAACTCTTAAGCTCACATTGGTTGCAAAACCCATCTGAGATGGACAAACAACAATGCCTTAATATTTTGATTACAGAATTCTTAGTGGGGTGGTTGAGTGTCTGTGCAAAAGGGCATGAGACTGCGTCAAGGTGGTCGGAGAGCCTTGCCAAACAGCTGAAAACTCCTCTGAGCTTTGCCAAACAGGGGAGCTGTTGTCTTCATACCTTTGTGTCATCCTACCCATTGCATGGACCCTAGCAAGCAGGACTATAGAAAAAAATGAAGTTCCAAGGAAGATGATTGGTGCTGGGTAGCACCAAAGCCACCAGCTGCAGCTTCAGCATCCCATCTGAGTGCTGATTCACTCTCATTTCTGCTTCCCTGCTGGTGTGCGTTGCTAAGCAACAGACTTGAACTCCTTAGACTCCTGCCACCATTGGGGGAGATGGATGGAGTTCCTGCCTTCTGGCTTTGGCCTGGCGTGCTGACTATTGTGGCCATTTGGGGAATAAACCACATAGGGGGGAGGTGGATCTCTCTCTGTCTCGCCCTCTCTGTAGGTAAGTCTGCCTTTCAAGTAGATAAATGAATCTTCTTTTTTTAATTCTAAGGAATATCTACTATTCATAACCAAGAAAAAGTGGGTTGCCATCCACATTCCCCATACTGATGCCTTTGGGTTTCTGGGAACACCCTTCCCCCCTTCCCTCTTCCTTCTCCCAGATACAGGAAGATTAAAAAACATTTTTTAAACAGTCCATCTCATTCCATTTCCACCATTTCTGGCCCTTCCCACACTAATCAGAGCTCTACCTGGGCATACGTCCTTCTCTACTGTACAACATTACCATAAACAAATGAATATGAAGTAGATTTCAATTTCAAAAAGAAACAATAAGCTTTTAGGAAAGATAGTATGACTCATATGCTTATGAACAAATTGATTCTTTTTTTTTTTTGAGACATTCAGACAACCAATAACAGGCTATTAAGATATTTTAGGATGAAAATTTTCTGCATATACCACTTTTGGCAAGACTTCACTCTGGGAAATAAAATTCTGAACAGCGGTCATTTGTATAAACACCTGGAAGCCTGAGTTTGTAATTCTTTTTCCTCAGAATTCTTTAGTGACTGAATAATATTAGGGGGAGCATTTATAATTTTGTATTTTTCCACATTTACACATTTAGGAAATGTGTTGTTAAGAGAGGAGACCGCAGGAGGTTACAATTAGGTAACCGAGAAGGAAGAGCCTATGTGAGCAGACTGGTTCTCAGAAGAGCCGCTGGGCACCCACAGGGGTCGCTTCTCGGAAAATGGACAGAGCCCATCACAGTGGAAACCGGTGAACTGCAAGGCGCCCTGAGCTGTGCAAAGCACCTGGCTGGAGGTCAGAAAAGCCTTGGTAGGGAAAGCAGCTACCCCACTGACACCTGGCATTATCTTACATTCAAGGCTTAAGCAGCCATCCAGGTGAAGCTCTGGTCTGCCAGGACAGATGTACCCCCATGGCGAGCGTCCTGTCCTGGGGAGTCCTCTCCACCCTTATCCTTAGGAACACACCTGCTTCTGCCCCACTCAGGATAGAACAAGGTGGATTTTCGGGCCGTTTCCAGAGAAAGGACCGTGAGGGGAGTCAGGAGCTAAACATGCAGCGGAGAGGACCCAAGGTTTGGGAGGAAACCTGCTTTAAATTTTCTTCTGAAATTTATTCTCTTGCTGTTACCATAGTGGTTCCCCCCACCACCCGGAGCAGACAGCAGGGTTCAAGGCTTCGCTGGGAATCTCGTTTCCCCGCCTCAGCAGGCATTCAGCATGTCAAATTCTTACTTGCAGCGAATCCCTGATTTCACAGAAAAGATTCTACAAGAGATGATACGAACTAATAGCTAAATGTGACCCTAACATGTGACTTACAGGCCACATTAATGAGGTTATTAATGTGACTTCAATTTAGTGAGGGTACTAAATTATTTTAATTTACCAAATAGGATAGGTCACATTAATGAGGTTTAATAATTTTAAAATCATAATAAATATAGTAAATTGGATTGCTAAGTGTGCACACAAACGTCTACTAATACGTATTTGTGTCCAGTGTTAATAGATAGTGAATATGATAATGTGGCTAATCATACCTTCCATTTACACCAGCACTATTACTCTGATCATTACATCACACAGCTTTACAGTAAGGATGCTACTGCTAAACACAGAGGTTTAGGTCATTTCCTGGTCTATTTGGGGAAATTAAAAAAAGGTCACTAAATTTTTGTTTAAAGATTTATTTTTATAGCCAAGTCAGATATAAACAGAGAGGAGGAGAGACAGAGATTCTTCCATCCAATGATTCACTCCCCAAGTAACCACAACGGCAGCTGCTGCGCCAATCCAAAGCCAGGATCCAGGAGCCTCTTCCAGGTCTCCTACACAGGTGCAGGGTCCCAAGGGTTTGGACCGTCCTCGACTGCTTTCCCAGGGCACAAGCAAGGAGCTGGATGGGAAGTGGAGCTGCTGGGATCAGAACCGGCGACCCCAGAACGTTCAAGGTGAGAACTTTAGCTGCTAGGCCACGCCGCCGGGCCCATGGGTCACTAAATTTTTAAATGAATAATAGCATACAAAGTTCTCCACAAGCATTTCACTTGAAAAGGAATGTGGGTTTTTTTTTTTATACAAATATCTATGAAAAACCTTGACATATGATCTACCAAGAAACTAGCTTGAATGTAGCAGCTAGAACTGAGTTTAACATGTTTCTACTACGTAATTCATTGTTATTAATGAAATGTCTGGTAAAATGACTGAAAATAGAACATAGTAACAATGTTTTATAGCAGATGATTAGCACAAGCTTACATGTCAGTGCTATGAGTTGACTAGTCAGTTATTAAATGCAGTATTTCCTGTGATTTTTATTCTGTTATGCTGATACACAATGACCATATTAATATAAATGAAACAGACTCTAACCCCCTTTAGTTTGTAACTAACTGTGAATATTCATCTTAAAATATTAGCACCTTTTTTCTATCTTCTATCATTTTATGTGACCAGTAGGAATTGTCAAATCATACTTTGCCATCTTAAACTGAAAATTAGAATAGAGAATTCAGCCTGGCCAGTTCCAGTGGGGAGCTTCTGGTGTATAAACTAGAAAACAAATGACCACAATATGCCTTGGTATCTCTGATTTTCTAATAAAATAAAAATAAAATTTAAAATATGATTTATATAATATCATATGATATGAATATGGCAGAATTGTATATGTTTATGTATGTTGATCTTGCTTTTGTTAATTTTAACAAAGTTGAGGATAAAAGGCAGATGATAAGGAATAAGGATATTACAGAGCATAAGGGGTCACAACATAAGAGTTTTGTAGTGCAATATGATTCAAAGTAGGAGGTTCAAAATACTTAATATTTCAAAGGTGGTTATTAAGTGATGTTTCACTCTGTATGGTTCCAATAATTTGCCAAAAGTTCTCTTGTTCCTCTTCATTTTGGGGATGGTAGGTTAAAGTCAAGGGAATATACCCACATGTCAGTGGCATACCTAGTTGCAGATAAATGAAGAGACACAGACACAGAAAAGACATATCTGCAATCAATACAGTTTAAAATCACAGAGGAAACTGAAGGAAATGTTTGGGTTGTGATTATGTTTCAGTAACTTTGGAAACAGCATTTAAATCATTTATACCTAAATATCATTTTAAATGCATTTTTTATTACTTATCCATATTTATATAGCACCTGTGTGATTAAGTCACTATATATTCAAGGATAAATTCATTAGCATTTCCACTTTAAAACATCAAAAATAGATTGAGATAATGTTATATATTTATGGGGTGCAGTGTGGCATTTCATTAAATATATACAATGTATACTGATAAATCAAAACAATGAACATGTCCCTCTGCTTTTTAGTACTTTGTGATTGGACCCTTGGAGCTCCTCTTTTATTTGCCCAGAAAATACATCACATATTCTTCTGTGATATAGTCACCCCACTATGTTGTGCATCGTTAGAAGTTTTTATGAAAAATGGTATGTAGATTCCTTAGAAAACTAAAACTGGAACTCCCATATGATCCTAAGTACACACTCAAAAGAAATGAAACCATTTTATCAACCACGCTTATGGATAAAGAAACCATTGGTGTATATAAACAGAAAGGATTATTATTCAACCATAGAAAGATGAAATCTTGTCATATGTGGCAAAATAGATTGAAATTGAAGAATTTATGTTAAAGGAAATAAGCCATGCACAAAAATTAAAGTATACCACATAGTCTCTTTGTATACTGAGGCTTAAAAAAAAAACGACCTGAATGTTAATGAGTCACTGCTAGAAGCTAGGACCAGTAGTAGAAGGAAGTTAGAGGGACGTTGGATAACATAGTTACAAGGTAGAAGTTTTCAATATTATATACATAACTCTAAAAGACTTCAAAAAATACACTGAGAGTTTCACATGATTGATGCATTGCCAAGATAATACTTTGTATTGAATTAAACCTTGTTCTTTATTTCACTACAGTAGCATATTACTCAAATTTAAAGGAATGCATTACACAGTCCACGTATTTTAGATGAAGATAACACATTAGGCAGCAAAACTATTACCCTCACAAAAATAGTTATTTATTTGGAAAATATATAAATTGACTTTCATAATATGCTTAGCCACAGATATTTAAACTCAAATCAAGCTTTAAAAAAAATAAACTAACATTTTTCCAAGTGACAACATTTATTATACAATTTTTCCAATATAGTTCAATTAATTCATCAAACACTCATTACTTTCAAGTCATTTCAAAACATAGATTTTTCTTCTGTCTCAGATGCTTGACATTATTCCAAGCATCGAGTTCACTTAGTCATATTTAGCCAGAGACGTGCATTACCTTAAATCAGCGTGTTCACATTCTGTCCATGTCTTATTACTTACCTTTGGGGGAAGTGGAGTCCCCTTAGACCTACAATAATTCATTCAAAGAGAGTGACTCCCGCAATGTAATGACTGCCTCATGTACACCACCTCATTTTTTAGTAATGATCAATATTATCAAACCAAAACCCGAGGCTTAGACATTCTAATCTTTTAGAGTCACATCATCAGAGCCATACCATAGCTCAAGAATGAATAGCAATATTGGAGAAAAACCTTTATATTTGGGGGTCTGCATTGTGTTGTAGCCAGTTTGGCTGCCACTTGCAGTTCTGGCATTCCATAGGAGCACTGCTTCAAATCCAAGTTGCTTCACTTCTGATCCAGCTCCCCACTAATACAACTGGAAAACAATCAAAAACTGGCCCAAGTTCTTTGGTCTCTGCATGTATGTGGGAGAACTAGATGCAGTTTCTGTCTCTTCGCTTTGGCTTGGTTTGGCCCCAGCCATTACAGACACTTGGGCAGTAAATTAACAAATGGAATTTCTCTCCCTTCTTCTCCCTTTCTTTGTAATTGCCATTCTATTAAATAAATGAATCTCTTAAAATGACTTAAGCTTTACTGTAAATTGAAATAAAGATGAAAAACAAAAGTATTTATCCTAAAACATGAAGAGAAAGATTTTCTACAGTTCTTTTTTAATTGAAAATGTTTTTCAATCAGAATTGCACATTTCTTCTGTATCAATATCGGCACCAAATTCCATAATCGTTTTAAACTAAGAGCACACTACTTTGGTTTCCATTAATATTCTGCTAGAAAGCAAGTTCACTGTTGCTATGTGATATTGACCTTACTTGACTGTGTTCTCCACACGTGAACACTAATAAATCAGATGGTGCTTCCTTCATATCTGTAGCCAAGAACTCCATGGTCTGGTTAGAGCACCTGCTCCATAAATGTTGCCAAAGGAGTGAAAGAGCATTTGATCCATGAATGAGCAGATGGTTGATGAGAAGAAGCTCTATTGTGCTGCTACTAACACAAGTGTGCAGACTTACTCTCTCCCCATTAGTCTCTTTACTGCCCCTCTTACATCTTTGTTTCTCAGGGTGTAGATTAAAGGGTTAAGGCTAGGTGTGACCACTGTGTAAAAGAGGGCAATGAATTTGCTTTGATCTTGGGAATTTTCTGTTGGTGGCTGGAGATATATACACATGACTGGAATGAAAAACAGGGAAACAACCATAATATGGGCACCACATGTCCCAAAGACTTTCTGAAGTCCTGTGGTTGACTGCATTCTCAACACAGCCCTGGCAATGGCGCCATAGGATGTGAAAATGAGAAGCAAAGGTATTAACACAAATATAGAACTTGTAACCATGAGTGTCAGCTGATTAGCATGAGTATCTACACAGGATATTTGCAGCAATGCTGGGACTTCACAGAAGAAATGATCCACATGGCGATTTCCACACAGGGGCACCCAGAAGGTAAAGAGGGAATGAAGGGCTGAGTTGGTAAAACCACAAACCCAGGAAGCCACAGCCAACAGGTGACAGAAACGAGGGTGCATGATGACACTGTAATGCAAAGGCCTGCACACAGCTGCATAACGGTCATAGGACATCACCACCAGAAGGACACACTCTGTGGCCCCCAGTGCAAGCACAAAGTAGAGCTGAGTCATGCAGCCAGCATAGGAGATGGTCTTGTCTGGGCCCCAGAGGTTGACCAGCAGCTGAGGGATGGAGCTGGTGGTATAGCAGAGATCCAGAAAAGAGAGGTTGGAGAGGAAGAAGTACATGGGAGTGTGCAGGTGGGAGTCCAGGTACGACAGGATGATGATGAACAGGTTGCCTATCAGTGTCATCAGGTAGAATATCAAGATGAGCACGAAGAGAGCTACTTCCAGGTGAGGCCAGTGTGAAAAGCCCAGCAGAATGAAGTAGTCTTCAGAACTACTGTTCATTTGTGCCATCTTCATTCATTTCTTGTTTTCTTAGTAAAAAAGACATTCTAAGGCTCAAAGGGAAACATGCACAAGAAAGAAATGCCAATTAGAATGTTCTGTTACTCTTCAAGTCCAGAACTATTTGAACAGTAAGAGAAACTATAAGCTATATTAAATAAAAGATTCCTCAGTAAAGAAAAGAAATTGGATGAGTGTTTGGATCAACAATGCTGTATCCTATCTCAGAATACTTCACTTATAATTCCAGCTCTGTTTTCAATTCTATATTCCAGTTGGCATGTGGTGTTGAAGACAGCGGTAAGGTCCAAAGATATGGGCCTTATCACACACATGATAAGTCTGGATTGAGTTTAAAGTCCTAGCTTTAGTCTGACCAGTTGTCTCATTCTAGACATTTAAAAATTAATGGCGGTCCCGGCACAATTGCGTACTGGTTAAAGTCCTCGCCTTTAACACGCCGAGATTGCATATGGGTGCCAGTTCTAATCCTTCTGCTTCCCATCCAGCTCCCTGCTTGTGGCCTGGGAAAGCAGTCGAGGACAGCCCAAAGCCTTGGGACCCTGCACCTGTGTAGGAGACCAGGAAGAAGCTCCTTGCTCCTAGCTTTGGACTGGCCCAGCTCCAGCCATTGTGGCCACTCAGGGAGCAAGCCATCAGATGGAAGATCTCCTCTCTGTCTCTCCTCTCTGTGTATCTGCTTTTCAAATAAAAATAAATAAATCTTAAAAAAAAATTAATCAGCAGATGAAAGATTCTCTCTCTTTTTCTCCTTTCCTTGCTTCTACTTCTCTTTATCATTCTGTCTCATTTATCATTTGCTCATCTCCTAAACAAACATAAAAAGCATCTGAATAGGGCCTGTGCAATAGCCTAGCAGCTAAAGTCCAATCCTTGCATGAGCCAGGATCCCAGATGGTTGCCAGTTCTAATCCTGGCAGCCCTGCTTCCTATCCAACTCCCTGTATGTGGCCCAGTTGAATATGGCCCAAAGCCTTGGGACCCTGCACCCATGTGGGAGACCAAGAAGGGTCTCTGGACTCCCGGCTTCGGATTGGCGCAGGCCATTGCAGCCATTTCAGGAGTGAATCAGTGGGTAGAGGACCTTTCTCTCTGTTTCTCCTCCTCTCTGTGGATCTGACTTCCCAAGCAAAATAAATCAATCTTAAAAATATATATTTAAGTAAAATAATGAAACAATGAATAATGAAGACAAAGTTATCCCATACACAAGAAAGCTAATCACTATTCAATAGAGAAATGATAGCATTCTAAACACGTAAAAGTGTGCAAACACTACCAAATTAGAAATTTGATGAATGGGTTATTTATACAGTGTATAATATCTCTTCAGAAATTTCTTGTCAATGAAATAGTGAAAAATGCAACCTTTATGATAGAAATACCCAGCATTGTGGTTATGAACAGATCATAACCAAGTGATCAGCGTTGCTATCACCATGGCTAGGACAAATCAACGTGATAATATAGTATCATGAAGCTACTGATGTGTGCTCTGAAGAAAGCATGATGTTACTTTGGTAGAATTCTTAAAACACACACACAGTCTCTCTGTAACAATGTAGAAACATGCGAGAAACATGAGCCAACAGCCATTGCTAATACTGTTCAAAAATATAATATTCCATGAAAAGAAAGGTTAAGTACCTGGCCCAAATTAGACATTACCACTGAGACATGCACCTACTGTGTAATCTTGGACATGAAATAAATGGATGCTAGTGAAATACTTGAGGTAGCTGGAAATGTTTTAGTATAGTATCAGTTGCGTGATAATATTCAACTTACTAAACTTAATAATTGAACCAAAGTTATGTGCATCTTGATTTTTAGATAATGAATGCTAAGATATTCAAGAGTAAAAGACCATCAAAATTCAAAACTTCCTGTCAAAATATTAGGTAAGGGATGATAGGTTCATAACTAGCTAGGTACATAGAAAAAAGTAAATTGATAAAAATTTCCAGAAAAAGATGTCTGCTGATGCTTATTTTCATTAAGGGGCAATGTTAGTTCTTTGCATACTTTTTGAACTCTGGAATGTTTGAAATTTTACCACAGTGGAATGAATTACAGGAAATAAAGATAAAACTTTTTCTTCTGTTTCATGCAGACATTTCTATTATCATAGAAAAAAATAACTGCCACCTCCTCCTCATTCATGTGTAATTGACACCTGAATAAACAGCACTTGAATAAATTCTTAACCTGCTGGAGGAAGAGACATTTTCCATGAAAATAGTAATTGTTAATCAGTTCATAATATCTGCTTTCATTCAGCATATTCAGACTCTTTCTATGCTTACAGGAAAAAAATGGGAATATTATAAATTCTATGTGTAAATGAAAAGACAGGATAAAGACTATCAAATTTAGTACAACTCTGATGCTTACACAGAAAAAAAATATACTTCGTTTAATATAGATAATCCTAAATAAATACCAGATTTTCTTGTATGTGATATGTTTATTTGTACTCACAACTTATTTATAAACTGAAAAATAAAACATGAACTTGGATGCTTATAAAATGATGCACAGACACATACATATCAACTCATGGGTATCATGATATGGACGAAACTGATCTGAAACATGTGTTATTAGAACTCCTTGGAAAGATGTATATATGTAACTGAATTTGAAAACAAAATATTCTGGAAGATAAAAATTGAAACATGAGTCAAAGATGGAAAAGCACAAAAAATGAAGAGGAATCTGATTCGGGTATTTATTGTTATAAATTTGTATGACAAGGTATCTTGACAACAGGATGCTAGACTTTCTGCCATTGTCCATATGTACAATAAGAGGATACACTTAAATAGCAGAATGATGAACTTCTGACTGTTTATGAAGGACTATATTATGATAATAATGTAGGGGAAATCAGCTGGAGAGAGGACCTGAAGAAATTTCCTATGCAATTTCTTTTTCTTTTGGAATATGAGACAGTATCTAAATCATGAGATCAAATTATGATCAGTGTGCATTTTCTTGTTCACATGAGAAAATAATTCTAAATATCTAATGAAGCACTAATGTGCGTTTTAGTCAATATATCAGTTTTAGCAAATCTTGTGTTACTTTCCTGTCAATAAAATAAAGTGCATAACACTGATGGATATGACGCTTTCATTTTTCTTTGCTTCAGGATTTCAGTCTTTCATAAGAAACATTCATATTGACTTGTGTGAAACATTTGTTGTGATAAGACATTAACTTATTCTTAAGTGTCCATTTCTCCCTGGATTATTTGCCTGCTCTAACCTTGTCACATCCTTATCCTTTCCACTGCCATCGCCAATGCTTATCTCACATTTCTTATTCAGTTGTAGCACAAGAAGAAGGAAGTCACAGCAAAAAGTCCTGTGGTTGCCACTTCCTGGGGAGAGGGGAATCTCATAAGGGAACGTTTGCGAAATTACAAGTTTTATGAGAAAAACATGTCAAGCGTGACTAATTGGTTGGGTTTCAGCAAGAAAACTGGGAAAATAGTTTGACCCCAAGACTACAATCCTGACTTCGGATTCGCACCTAATTAACCAGTTATTACACTGAACTATTTATGTAATCCAGTTAATATACAGAACAAAAAGAGAGTGCATTTTCAAATAAGAACTTCTTAAAAAGCTATGGTTAAGTCAGAAACAACAAGGTTTAAGTGGAAAAGCATGAAGCTTGCTCGACTTAGAGTTAACTGTCATTTGCAGGATGATAGAAATTTTCCAAGAGATTCTCAAATTTTATCCATGATGGAGATAGTGTATCATGAGATATATGGACTCCCAAGTTGTGCCTTCCTATGATGTATAATTATCTTCATTCTCCAAAAGTAATCTCTGTGAATTAGTTCGTTAACTAAAGCAAAGTCACAGCTGAGAGACACATTTATGTATACAGTGAGAGGTTAGAATGTGGTCTACCACAAGGGAGCAAAGCATACAAGATGCCAGTGGTGATTTATGATCATGGCTCACTCTAACTGCTGTGTAGATCAGGCATTGTTTAGTGAAAGGTGTCCACATCCCCCCATCCCCTTATCACCAGACAACTTTTTTTTCTTGTCATGCTTTATTTCTTTTGTACTCTTACCTGCTGGTTAAGCGGTACTTGAGCAACTCCTTTCTCTTGTGCTCTGTCTACATTCCCTGTGTGCTGTCTTCCTTTGTCCTCATCATGTGTGTGCTGTCACCTGTTCCCTGTTTCTCTTGAAACTGCTAACAGAAATGGCTGTTCGCCCCATACATTCTACTTCACCAACAAAGGGAAACAGAGACTGAAAGTAACCACTGTTACCATCATGCTAAAAAGAGAATTCCACGAGCCTAATAAAATAGAGAAACACACCTTTTAGAATACTCAGATGTCAGAGGCATCGCTTCCTATTTTAGAAGAAATACTCAGTGGAATCAAGGATGTAGCTTATTTTCTTTGACTGAGGCCATTGGGAGTTTAAGTCCCAAGGTGTTAATTAATTTCCTCCAAGGAATAGTCTTGGTTCAAACAACATAGGAATGGCTTTAGCATGATACTGGGTTGCTGTACCAAAGTGAAACTCAATCTGTAGTCCAGTCATCATTGAGAAAATGCATTTTGGGCTGTGTTTCCAGGAAAATTAATGACTTGTCTTGAGTTACCTGAAATTCCTTCCCCAATCCCCCATCCTGCTAAGGGGTAAATTAAAAAGGTAATTATGTTTCTTTCTGTCTATATAAAATTTTAACATACATTATGTTCAAGATACCTGTCATTAAAACTTATAAGACTTGTTTGTTGTTGATGGACTTTAGTGCTGTAATGATAAAGGGGAAGGAAAGGAATGTGAAGGGTGGAAAGGCAGATCCTGGAGCCTATGGAACAGTACCATGAAAAATAAAATAAAAATATATATAACTTATTTTTAACATCTCAAGAAATATGGCAATTTTAATTTTGGGGAGAAAAGCCCAGGGAGTTGTTCTAATTGTTTTCTTAGGTATCCCTCTGTCCTGGGCT